AAACAGATTATTCATCTCATTGGCTGAAGGTGGAACCCTTTCACAAAAGGTTGGCCTCTTTGTTCCCAAAAGCATTTGGCCCGTCACGAGTTTTAAACTGAAATGATCAGAAATCATAAAGTTCTTGTTGTTTTGGTCAAATACGAAAATGTATGTCATGCTCCATCTTTTCTAAGTTTTGGCTCACTTCCTGTGGAACAGCTATAAGCATTCCTGTCTGTTCATGTAGACTCAAGTGGGTTCTGAAAGTTTCGTTAGCATTTGTCTAGTCAGCGACTCCATCACCAGGCAGGAGACGATGAGGTGGCTGACGACGACTGCAGTGACCGCCCATAAGCGCTGCCTCTCGCAGGCGTCGAAGAACACGACACCCCAGAACATGTGGAGCAGGATGATGGCCTTAGTCATGAAGGCTAGGAGAGGACACCCAGAGACGGTTTAAGTGGGATAGATGTTCAGAAACGCAAACGCACGTGGGACTCTGTACCTGAGGACAGGAAGTAGTGCTGTGAGTCTCCATGGATCCCAACGGTCCCAGGTCCTGCAGAGTCAGCCAGGATGCTCACCACAGAGAAGGCTCCGCTCATGAAGCCAAAGCCAAGGCCAGACACTGGAAAACAAGCCCGCAGTTAGACGTTTACACTGAGGCCTGATCCATGAACCCGAGTTATCATCTGTGTTGTTTTCTACCAACTTACTGTCAGAAAACTGACTTTTTATTCAGAAAACAAAACAAAAACAGAGAAGTAGTCCAGATCATTCTTCAGCATTCTGACTACCGCCCATTTTGTCTTTGTAGCGTCATGAATGTCCTGTTTTGACCTAAAGGTCATGATCTGCTGCGTCTGCTCAAGGAGAGACATAAAGTTTCTGACAGGCTAATCTACATGAGATAGTGGCCAAGGTCTTTCATGCACTCTGCTCATCTTAACAGCTTCACCTCTGTTACAGCTCAATACGAAGACGAAGAACTCTCTTTTGATAAACACATAATCAACAACTTTGTTATTACCAATAATAATGTGAGCCCAATGTTCAATCAATCTGTGAAATGACAATGTTATTACTTGACATTATAATCCTGTGATCAGTAGTATTTTACAAGTTATTATAATCTTGGACATTTGCACTAGACACTAATGACACGTAATGCTTAAGCCACACGACACATTTCCTTTTGTCTGATCCAATCAGAACCTTCGTTTTTGGCGCTAGGCGTGGTTTTCTGTGGTGTTTGTATAAACCCTCTTTTGCATGTCAAATTCTGATTCACCAGTAAACCAAAATATGACAATTATAAAAACTATTCCAGGCCACCTTTTCTTTAGTTCAAAGCGTTCTAGAGAAGTCTCGGACAGGCCATCCGGACTTCCTCTTCAGCCAAAAAGAACCTCAACAAGCTGGATAACATCTGTTGCAAGTTACACCTGACCGCAACGGTTCCTTCAGAATAAAAGCTGAACCTCATGACCCCTTCAGGGTCTCGCTGACGCCAATGAACCTGTCGTGACCTGGAAGCATTCCAAGACTAGTTTGGTAGGCACCGCTGCTTCTCTACCAGATTTGGTTCCAAGGAGGGTCCAAGAGGACCTCGAGATTCTGGATCTAAACGGAGGTTTCCCCTGGGGTACGTAGACCGACAGATGGCGTTTCACGTGTGTTATTATTCTCCAACTAAAGTTTAGAGCGAAACATTCACTCCCACTCAGAACTAACTGCTTCTCCGGATCCTAAGGTTCTGATAACCACATTCCACACATACATTGTTCATCTCACGTCTCACTCCATCTTAGTCCATCAGTACACAGAGTGTTAAAGTTAGTCTTGTTTAAATTGTGTAGAAGTAAATTTCTTAACTATTTTAACTCGACTCTCTCTCTTCCCTTGGATTTAATATGAAGTGTCACTTAATCCCTGCAATAAAAAGTTCTGATCTTCTGGTTAAATTATTCAAAGATCCATCAGATTGATATTTCATATTTCTATGGAATCTCACATTTTATGGTTCATAAGTAAGATGTAAACTATCCATCCTTTACATCTTCAAATTAATCTAACTCTTGTGTAAATTTTAGAAAGTGGTCTCAATCTACGTTTTTAGACTCCCTGAAGGTCGTAAAAACTATTATTTGGACTTCAGCTGTTTTATTTTTCACTTATTTTTTCTGCTCATTCTAAGAGGAATTTGTTTTTGTTTGGTTTGTTAAAAGGTTTAGCCCTGACCTGTGACCTGAGTCATGACCTGTGACTATATGTGAGTCGTGACCTGTGACTACATCAGGCATAGGAGGCTCCTGGATAAACCAAAGCAGTGATTTCTCAAATCCTCTAAGAAAGCGTATCAAAGGCACGCTGTTAAAAGCCACCAGATCCAAAAGCACAACTGTAATTTCTCAAGATTGATTTGCAAACAACTTGAAAGAATCAATTTCACAGACTCTTTTTTAAGGAGGGGGTAGTCCACACAGGTTTTTGTAGAGAACTATTTGTACCTCCCTGTTGGCTCGTGTTTGTCTAAGTATTCCTGCAGACGAGAATGAATGATGTTTTCTGTTAAACACTGATAGTAACACGTTGTTTAGCTCCAACAGGAAACCAATCCTTTGCCACATTGTCTGTTACCTGTTAGCGTAGCTCTGGTTCACACACTGAGTTTGGAAGATGTTTTTACTTCAAGACATAAAAATATTTGATTAATTTAGAAAAAAACAGCATTTAAAGCCCCAGAAAAAGAAGTGGTCTAAGAAAATTTTTAAATAAAATCAGACATTAAAAAGGGGGATGAATGAAATAGTTTGCATATAATTATTATTGTTTTTTAATCTTGAAGTCTAAAATAAAAATACACTAGCTTTTCTACAAAACTGCAGGATGTAGTCTACATCTGCTCAGTAGAACCTGGGAATCAGGCCCATAGTTTCATCAGAGTTCCTAAATTTCAAGTTTGATTATTGAATGTGTCATGAAAGCACGTATCCAGCCTTCTGATGGAATCTGGAGATACAAATGTGACGTATGATGATGAGAAGTGCAGTAAGGGTGTACCGTAGGCCAGCTGTCGTATGGATATTGGCATAGTTTCTTCTTGACTTAAAATGAGGAGGCCTTCATTCGCTTTTCTGCAAGAAAAACAAGAACATAAGTAAACCCGAGAGGCTAGGGGTGTCATGTAACAACTTTTGCACTTCCGATAGGATACTGCAGCCTTCCCCATACCGATATCAATCCAATATGATATCAGCGCAAAACATACATACTTTTACCTATTTCAAAGTGTGGAATGTATAAAAGGCTTGATTAAGTGATTTTACTCAAAAAGAAAACAAAAGCCAGCAAAAGTAAGTATAAAAACTGACCAATTTTTATTAACTTTTAGTTTCATAAATGTGAACAGCTGAGTTTAGGGACAAAAGGAAAAAAACACAATATTGTTCACTCACCAACTGCTACAAGTTGAGTGTCTAAAGTTTCAATTTCGCACACTGCAAAAATCTTCATGCAATGTTTTATGATCCTGTTTCAAATGCACGATGATGTTGCACGTATTAAACTTCCCCAGTTCTGTTCCACCAAAGGAAACTTGTGCATGACAAGTGTTGCACTGAGTCAAACTGTCTTTTTCGGACTTTAACGAAAAATACAGCCACCTTACCAACATTGTCCCTTGCTACTTTAATAGCACACACTGTTCTGATCACATGGACTTTGCATGCTGGATCTGGGCACTGCTGGATAGAATTGATGTAACAGAATTTAAAGCGGAACATACTACTAATATCAGAGATTTTAGATGCAGTCCGATATAATCCGACACAGTGGTTTTGGGCCAATATCCGATATCAATATCGGAATGGGACGTCCCTATGGGAGACTTTGAGTGATTTCAAAATGCTCTAAAATAGAAAATTGCTGTTCCCACAGGGTAATTCCACTTTAGATCAACAGTATACAATCCCACATTGATACCATATCAATATCAAGTTATTCTGATGTTGCCTTCCAAAATAAAGACCTTTTTAAATTGCCCATATACGACTAACTCTTTTAACAATTTCAAAATGCTCTTAAATAGATTTTTGCTGTTTCCACAGGATGACTACATGTTCAATCAATAGTATACAACAACACAGTGATTCCATATCAATATTAAGTCAGTCTTATTTGATTTATTAAAATTGACTGAAGTGGATTTCTTGCCTTTACATATTAATGACACAATCTTTTCTTTGTATTTATAATAGAACCATTCTCATCGAAGTAAGATAGGTAAATCTATTTATCTTTGAAAACAAATCAAAGAAAAAGGGAACAGCTCAATTCAAGGACAGTAAATTTTAAAGTCCAAAAGCTGCAGTCATGATACCATTAAAGGTGCTTGCTAACCCAAAGCCCTGCATGTGTGGTGGTATGATGGAGTGGGGATGAGGAGGGGAGGGAAGTGAAGGCAAAGTACTCTCTCGTGTGGCCAGGTCCCCCGCTGACCCAAGTAGGCACCCCTGGAAGCCACAAATGCCCATCTGGACGGGGGCCTACATTAGCACCACCACCAAGCCCCACGGAGCCTGGGGTGGTGGGCGCACATCGTAACCCACCACAGAGGAAAATACATCCACCCAAACATTCAATAATCTCTCTGACTGCATGAGACAAAAGACACCGCGGCTGAGTTTATTCTCCACCTCTGTACTAATTTTAAAGTTAACTATTGTCTTGGGGGGGGGGGGGGTTAAATGTGGTGAACACTTGACAAACAAAGTAAAAAGTAAAAAGAAAAACAATACAAGACTATTATAAATTAAAGGGCCTTGGAGGTGTCATTCAAAATATAACCAATGCACATCAAAACATACATGTGAGTAACAGAAAGAATTAAAAAAACATTTCAGAATAATTCTAAGGTGGAATTACCCTGTGAAAACAGAAATTGTTCTTTTTAGAGCATTTTGAAACTGTTCCAGGAGTAAGTCTGATATGGGCAGTTTGAAATGCTTTTATTTTTGAAAGCAAAATCAGAATAACTTGATATTGATATAGTATCACTGTGGGGTTGTATACTGTTGATCTAAAGTGGAATTACCCTGTGGAAGCAGAAATTTTCTATTTTAGAGCATTTTGAAATCACTGAAAATTAGGTCAATTGTGGACAATTTAAAAAGGCCTTTATTTTGGAAGGAAACATCATAATGACTTGATATTGATATGGTATCACTGTGGGGTTGTATACTGTTGATCTAAAGTGGAATTACCCTGTGGAAACAGCAATTTTCTATTTTAGAGCATTTTAAAATCGTTAAAGGTAGGTCAATTATGGACAATTTGAAAGGCCTTTATTTGGGAAGGAAACATCAGAATGACTTGATATTGATACGGTATCACTTTGGGGTTGTATACTGTTGATCTAAAGTGGAATTACCCTGTGGAAACAGCAATTTTCCATTTTAGACCATTTTGAAATTGTTAAAAGAGTCGGTCAAATATGGGCAATTTCAAATTGCTGCGGTTGAATAGTGTTGATACAAAATGCAACTACTCTTTGGAAATATGACTTTTGTTTTTAAGAGCATTCTGAGGTCATTGAAAGAGTAGTTCAAAAATGAAAATTCACAGGGCTTTTACCTTGAAATCCAAAAAAAGATGGCCTTGATATTGACAGGGCGCTAATAGTGTCGTTGTCGTCATCTTCCTCCACTTATCCGGGTCTGGGTCATGGGGGCAGCATCCCAACAAGGGAGCTCCAGACCGTCCTCTCCCCGGCCTTCTCCACCAGCTCCTCCAGCAGGACCCCAAGGCGTTCCCGGACCAGATTGGAGATGTAACCTCTCCAACGTGTCCTGGGCTGACCCGGGGGCCTCCTGCCGGCAGGGACATGCCCAAAAAACCTCCCCGGGGAGGCATCCAGGAGGCATCCTGACCAGATGCCCAAACCACCTCAACTGGCTCCTTTCAATCCGGAGGAGCAGTGGTTCTACTCCGAGTCCCTCCCGAATGTCCAAGCTCCTCACCCTATCTCTAAGGCTGAGCCCGGCCACCCTACGGAGGAAACTAATTCCGGCCGCTTGTATCCCCGATCTCGTTCTTTCGGTCATTACCCAAAGCTCATGGGACGTAGATCGACCGGTAAATTGAGAGCCTGGCTTTCTGGCTCAGCTCCCTCTTCCCCACGACAGATTGGCTCAGCGTCCGCATCACTGCAGATGCAGAACCAATCTGCCTGTCGATCTCCCGATCCCTCCCTCACTCATGAACAAGACCCCAAGATACTTAAACTCCTCCACTTGAGGTAGGACCTCTCCCCCGACCTGGAGTTGGCAAGCCACCCTCTTCCAGTCAAGAACCATGGTCTCAGATTTGGAGGTGCTGATCCTCATCCCAGCCGCTTCACACTCGGCCGTGAACCTACCCAGCAAGAGCTGAAGGTCAGAGCTGGATGAAGCTAGGACGACCACATCATCCGCAAAAAGCAGGGACGAGATTCTCCTGCCACCAAACTCGACACACTCCACACCACGGCTGCGCCTAGAAATTCTGTCCTTAAAGGTAATGAACAGAACCGGTGACAAAGGGCAGCCCTGGCGGAGTCCAACCCTCACCGGGAACAGGTCTGTCTTACTTCCAGCTATGCGGACCAAACTCACGCTCCTCTGGTAAAGGGACTGAATGGCCCTTAACAGAAAGCCACCCACCCCATACTCCTGGAGCGTCCCCCATAGGGTGCCCCTGGGGACACGGTCATAAGCCTTCTCCAAATCCACAAAACACATGTGGATTGGTTGGGCAAACTCCCATGCCCCCTCCATCACCCTTGCAAGGGTATTGAGCTGGTCCACAGTTTCACGGCCAGGACGAAAACCACATTGCTCCTCCTCAATCCGAGATTCAACTATCGATCGGACCCTCCTCTCCAGTACCTTGGAGTAGACCTTTCCAGGGAGGCTGATGAGTGTGATCCCCCTATTGTGTGAACACACCCTCAAGTCACCCTTCTTAAAGATGGGGACCACCACCCCGGTCTGCCACTCCACAGGAACCGCCCCCGATGACCACGCAATGTTGCAGAGACATGTCAACCATGACAGCCCTACAACATCCATAGCCTTGAGATACCCAGGACGAACTTCATCCACCCCCGGGGCTCCGCCGCTGTGTAGTTGTTTGACTACCTCAGCAACTTCTGCCCCCGAGATTGGACAGTCCATCCCCAGGTCTCCCGGCTCTGGTTCCTCCTCGGAATGCGCATAGGTGGGATTGAGGAGCTCCTCAAAGTATTCCTTCCACCATCCGACTATAGCCTCAGTTGATGTCAGCAGCTCCCCATCCCCACTGTAAACAGTGTGAGCAAGTTGCTACCTATCTCTCCTGAGGTGCCGGACAGTTTGCCAGAACGTCTTTGGAGGCGATCGATAGTCTTTCTCCATGGCCTCACCAAACTCCTCCCACGCCCGAGATTTTGCCTCGGCAACTGCCACTGCTGCACCCCACTTGGCTATCCGGTACCTGTCTGCTGCCTCCGGAGACCCACAGACCAGCCACTCCCTGTGGGCCTCCTTCTTCAGCCTGACGGCTCCCCGAACCTCTGATGTCCACGACTGGCACCGGCCACCTTGCGACCACATCTAGCAACAGCCACCTCAACAATCGCAGAGTGGAAGAAGGCCCACTCGGAGTCAATGTCCCCCACTGCTCTCGGGACGCGGTCAAAGCTCTGCCGGAGGTGGGATTTGAAGTCTTAACAGGTTCTTCTGCCAGGCATTCCCAGCAGACCCTCACTATGCGTTTGGGTCTGCCAGGTCTACGCGGCATCTTCCCCTGCCATCTGATCCAACTCACCACCAGGTGGTGATCAGTTGACAGCTCCGCTCCTCTCTTCACTCGGGTGTCCAAAACATACAACCGCAGGTCAGATGATACGACTACAAAGTCTATGATCGACCTGCGACCTAGGCTGCCCTGGTACCAAATGTACCAATGGGCATCCTTATGTTCGAACATGGTGTTCGTTATGGCCAAACTGCGGCTTGCACGGTATCCAATAATGAAACACCACTCGAGTTCAGATCAGGCGGGCCGTTCCTCCCAATCACACCCCTCCCGGTCAAGCTGTCATTGCCCATGTGAGCATTGAAGTCCCCCAGCAGGACAATGGAGTCCCCTGATGGAGTACTGTCTAGCACTCATCCCAGGGACTCCAAAAAGGGTGGGTACTCTGAACTGATATTTAGCCCATAAGCACAAACAACAGTCCGGACCTGTTCTCCGACCCGAAGGCGCAGGGAAGCTACCCTCTCGTCCCCCGGGGTAAACCCCAACACACAGGCAGAGAGTCTTGGGGCTAACAAAAGCCAACCCCAGCCCTCCGCCTTTCACCCGGAGCAACTCCAGCAAAGGAGAGTGTCCAACCCCTCTCAAGGACTTGGGTTCCAGAGCCAATGCTATGTGTCGAGGTGAGTCCGACTATATCTAGCCGGTACCGCTCAACCTCTGCCACAAGCTCCTGCTCCTTCCCCGCCAGCGAGGTGACGTTCCATGTCCCAAAAACCAGTTTTCTTGTCCGGGGATCGGACCGCCAAGGCTCCTGCCTTGGTGTGCCACCCGATCCACATTGCACCGGACCCTTCATGTTCTTCCTGCGGGTGGTGGGTCCACAGTTGGATGAGCCCATGTATTCAGCGGGCTGGGCCCCAAGGGCGAAAGCCCGGCCACCAGGCGTTAGCTCACGTGCCCCAACCCCAGGCCTGGCTCCAGGGTGGGACCCCGGTAACCCTCCGGGCCGGGTACTCCGACTCTTTGACTTTACCTCCATGAAAGATCCTGTGAACCGTTCTTTGTCTCATCCTTCACCTAAGAACAATTTGTCATGGGAGACCCTACCAGGGGCACTTTGTGCCCCAGTCAACATAGCTTCTAGGATCATTAGGGCACTCAAACTCCTCCACCACAATAAGGTGACGCTAATAGTGAACAAGCCTAAATTATTTGTTATTATGTTCTTAAAATATCTGATAATTCACTCGAAGTTGGATTTTATTTTGAAATCCGGTTTCCACATCCATTCCCGTAATAATTTGAATAGACCGGGAACAGAAAACAAACTTAAGGCTGGCTTGACTGCAATGCT